TACTACTACTACTACTATTTCTTCTGGTACTCCTTCTACTACGACCTGCTGCTGCTGCTGCTAGACTACTACTACTACTACTACTACTACTACTACTATTTCTTCTGGTACTCCTTCTACTACGACTGCTGCTGCTGCTGCTGCTGCTGCTGCTACTGCTACTACTACTACTACTACTACTACTACTACTACTATTCCAACTCCTACTCCTGCTCCTGCTCCTGCTCCTGCTCCTGCTCCTGCTCCTGCTCGTCTGCCACTGCCACTGCCACTGCTGCTGCTACTGCTCCTGCTGCTGCTGCTGCTACTACTGCTACCACTGCTACCACTACTGCTGCTACTGTACAGCCCCTGACCCCTAACATCCCCTAACTGAACCCCAAATCTTAATCTGAAGCTCCTAGAAATCTACAGGAGGAGGTGCAAATGGGCCGCCAGCGGCTGGATGAGCTGCGCAAGAGCCTGGAGTGGAACTTTCGGCACAGTTCATGAGCAGAGGCTTTCGGGGCTTCGGATTCAGGTTCTCAAGACTGTTGCCTTTCAGGTGCTTCGGCTAAGGGTAATACACCCAGATTATTTTTTAGCCTTTAGAGCAAGATAGGGGCCTCATTAATCATCGCCGATGTTACCTCAGTTTGAGCGTGGTCTCACAAAGCCGGTTGGTAGGGAAATTTTTCAGCACGGGTGCTGCAGTACTTTGCCATTTCCTAGGCATCCGAAAGTCCAAAGTCATGACCTGCTACATGGGCAGTTCTCAGGACGCAAGAGCAGACCGCGGAGGAGCGAGTTTTGTCACAAAGCTTTGTTCGTTTCGGAACAGAGTTCAGGGAGTGAAGACGTGTCCTCCGAGATGTCGTCGCGGTTCTACCACACGCCTCCCTTAATCAGGTTCCTACATTGAGCACCACAAGTACCTCAGTTTCTGAAGTGCTCATCATACTGCAATGCATCCGTGCTGCCAGCGAAGTTTGCGAGTCTGAGAGTCAAAGGGTGTGCACGCAACGTTTAGCTTCTACACCCACATCTCTTCAGCTAGTTTCCCTTGTTTTCTCACCAGATTTTAACAACCCGCAGCAAGCACGGATGACACCCACAAGCGGAAAAGTGTACCAAGCAAAACACCTTGTATGGTCAAACTAAACCAGAGATCGGAATAGCTGGTCTGAGCTGGGCAACAAGGAGCAAACACACACAAAGACTCCAACGCCCGCAGCCTAATCCATCCTCAAAAAGGCAAGGACTTCCCTCCCGGCTTCTGGGAAGTGTGCAGCTCACTCTGGTCCGCTAATGCTCGTTTCCCAGGAGGAGGCCCAACGGCTAGCCGAGCTGCGGGCGTTGAAAAGAGAACAGAGGCCAGCCGTGAAAGTTAAAACAACATCGAGCAAAATAGCGAAAAATCGTAAGACTTGAGAAAGTAGTGACAACAGCCACCATCCCGATAATATGTATATGTAAATGTATATGTATCTTTGTATTCTTTCTAGTCCATTCCTTTCCATTCCATTCTGTTCTTGACAGTTTTTTGTTGTTGTTCCAGCTTGATGCCATTCTGTTCTGTTCTTTCACGTCATGTCATGTTACGGTTGTGTTAACTATTTGTTTCTTGTTGCCTCGGAAAGTACAGGCCGATGTCCTCGCGTATCCTCTGCCCGATGGGGTATGACATTATGGGAAAATAGCGAGTATCCACGCACAAAAAGCACTTCTCGCCCACAAAAAGTACCAGCCAGATATTTTCGACAATTCATGTACATCACCTGAGAAATTGCAGTTATGTCCCCCTCGAAGAATAGCAACCCGATCAGCATGATACATCGGCAAGGTTCCAGTGAGGCCCCTGACAGACCCGCACAAGGCTACCAAAAACCGCAGCTACCTGCACTTCTTGAAGGGTAAGTGTCATGCTTCGAAAGACAAATGCTGTTTTAATATGAAAGAGACATCATTTCTGAAGACTGTACACTAAGTTTCCTTTGAGAGCAATGCGAAAAATCATGTAAGGACTTACCGCTGGAGACAGGTCCTAAACTATATATTTCATCATATGCGAACGCTGTGCGGAATTTGTCACCAACTCATTCAGAACCCAACACAAAGTCACCAAGCAGTCCCAAATGATAGGTTTCCTGGAACACGTCCCCTTTCGTGGCCGGGTCTCTGGTAATGTAGCTCCCGGGTTTGCAGATACCTACGTGCCTTCAACATGAAAGATACCTACCTGCCGACCGACCTACCTACCTACCTACCTGCCTGCCTGCCTGCCTGCCTACCTACCTACCTACCTACCTGCCTACCTACCTACCTACCTACGTACCTACCTACCTACCTACCTACCTACCTACCTAC